TAGATTTATTATAATTTGATAATTCAAATGGACATTGGTTTTCCAATTAGTTGTATGATTTGTAAGGGAGAATAACAACAGCTTCTGTGTAATTAGTGTTAAGGCCGAGATGGCACTTCTCTTAGCCGCCATTAAGGTGGCATTGGCAAAACGTTGCTTGACCAAACACATACTGTAAGCCCTGGATACGAGTTTGATTATCTCAGGGCTTATGAGAGCGACCAAGCACATAAGCCCTGGGTACGAGGTTGATTATCTCAGGGTTTACGAGAGCGACCAAGCACATAAGCCCTGGGTAAGAGGTTGATTATCTCAGGGCTTACGAGAGCGACCAAGCACATAAGCCCTGGGTAAGAGGTTGATTATCTCAGGGCTTACGAGAGCGACCAAGCACATAAGCCCTGGGTAAGAGGTTGATTATCTCAGGGCTTACGAGAGCGACCAAACACATAAGCCCTGGGTACGAGGTTAATTATCTCAGGGCTTACGAGAGCGACCAAGCACATAAGCCCTGGGTACGAGGTTGCTTGCTGCCAATATTGACAAAAATTGCGTAGTAATCGCCTCATGTCAAATCGGCTCATGTCATGTCGTAGTAATCGCCTCATGACAAAATATTCAATAATCACTTGTGTAAAGTCGCGTATATCCTCTGTATAGGTGCGCAAAGAAATGCAAAAAGTTCTCCCAGGTTTTGCATTAAAGAAGTCTGTGGAAAGATTGAGAAAAGGTATTAAAAAAGTTCTACGGAAGGATGAACTGGCGAATAAAGATGTTGCTGACGCTGTTTCATTCATTGAAACGAAAACAATGAAAAAAAGGGGATCACTAATTAAGTTCAACGATGTAAGTATATTCAAATTACACTTGGTAGCTGAGTTAGAGATAGTTTCTATACACGTTTGAAAGGGCAGTGTGTGCAAAAAGTTTTTCCTTAAACTCTACCATTATGTATTCTCTTCGCTATAGCCATCGAGTTTTTCCTTAAACTCTACCATTATGTATTCTCTTCGCTATAGTCATCGAGTAAGCCCAAGAATTTGCTTGAAGACAAGCGGTCCAGTTTAAATTGGTGGTACTCGTCACACCGGACGACGTTCTTCGAAAGCAGCACGGACCTGTTTGAAGCTTTAGTCGACGTCATTTCAAGCTATTACGTCTTCCACATAAATTACCCTGATCAAATGTCAGGTATCCTCTACTTCCTCCAGGATTTCGCGTTAGATGTATCAGACACCACACAGCGATCCATTAAATACTCGTCTTTCGTTGCTGAACTGCAATGCGATGTTCACCGACAGTGAACTTGAAGTTACAAGTCGATTACATTTTATTCCCTTCTATGCATGTCGCAAAAACGTAAGGAAATGTACTCTGATTGTGGTGGTGCATTTTGTACTCAGGTGTTATAAGTATTTTTTCCCTGCCACTCTTAGTACAGTCCACACCGCGCAAGCTGAAAAACAGCTCGAATCCCACCCCGGTGTTTCAGCTTGCCCTGTGTGAACTGCACTCAGAGTAGCAGGGAAAAAATACTTAAGGAAATGTGTACACACTTTTTACAATTTCAGTTTCACCTTTAAGAGTTATTGAACGAGGCAAGCAAAGGGAAAGCCATACATTTGATTCACGAAAATATTTCATTGCTTGTCTCAAAAAAAAGATTTTTGGCAAAATTTAAGACTAATTCATCATGTAACTTTTTAGCTTATATGCATGCTAAGTACATGTACATGGGAACATGCAGCTAAAGTGTATCAAAACAAGAAGTGTAAATACAAATCCCGTTCATGCGTAGAAGGGACAGTAATTTAGCTTAAGTATACATTGTATTTCTTTATTCTTAAAGGGATATGGCAATATAAAATTAGATTTTCGCATTTGAAAGAACTTTCAAAATTATATGTTAAACTCTTTTACCGTTTTTTTTTTTATATCTTGCTTAGTTCTTGAAATATTTTGACTTACTGTCGTTCCAATTGAAGTGTTCCTCAAATATTGTTTCAATACATTACCTCGGGCTGACCAATTCATTTCATCAAGTTCCTCGAAATATTCATACACTTCCTAGTATAATTGTAAACTTCCTGTTGAATAGTTTGAATGCACCAATCACCTTTGTTGTTTGTGCAACTAACCAATCATATATAGAAAGGAAGTGACCAGAAATGATCAAATACTTGGAATTGGCTCTTTCACAGGAAGTGTATGAATATCTCGAGGAACTTGATGAAATGAATTGGTCAGCCCGAGGTAATGTATTGAAACAATATTTGAGGAACACTTCAATTGGAACGACAGTAAAGCAATGAGATGTCGCCATCTTGGATTTTTGCAGATATTGCTTGAAAACAACTGAACCTTATGAGTTGAAAATTATTCTCTGGATACTCTTTGAAATAACAAAATATCTGCAAACATTTTAAACATTAACCACCAAGGGGTCCTTTTATATGGCTAACCCTACTTGTGGCGTCACCTAAAACCAGCATTAATGAGATAAAAAATAATCCAAGATGTCGGACATTCCATTGTTTTCAGTCATTGTATATAAAAATATTTCCAGAACTATGCAAGATATTAAAAATCGGTAAAAAAATTTAACATATAATTTTAAAAGTTCTTACAAATGGGACAATAAACTTTTATATTGCCATATCCCTTTAAACTTTATTCCGTAACTTAAGGGACTGTATCTTGCATGGCTATTATTCTTACTGGCGAACTTTTATAACTTATTGATAGAAAGATTTAATGTGATAGAAAGATTTATTTGCATTAAATTGTTACCAGTGAAGTGCATCCTTTTCAGTTTTCATGTTTTTATATCTTGTACATTTTGGCACTTTCAAAGGTGTTTTAAACTGGCACGTCTTTTAAGGTGTGTTGTAGTAGCACACCTTGTAAGGTGTGTTGTGTTAGCACACCTTTCAAGGGTGTTGTATTAGCACACCTTGTAAGGTGTGTTGTATTAGCACACCTTGTAAGGTGTGTTGTATTAGCACATCTTTCAATGGTGTTGTATTAGCACACCTTGTAAGGTGTGTTATATTAACACACCTTAAGTTATGCTAATCAACACACCTTGAGGTGTGCTACTATAACACACCATTGAGCAACAATAACACACCTTTGCGTGCTGCCTAACACACCTTTCTTAGTAACACACCTAAAGGTGTGTTGTTTTGGCGACAAGCCGCTAACACACCTTTTGTTGTGTTACTGTAGCACACCTTGGTGTGTTACCGTAGCACACCTTAAGGTGTGCTGTTTTGGCGACAGAAAAGGTGTGTTACTATAGCACACCTATTTTTAAGAGTATATATATATATATATATATATAATTTCGCTTACCTCAAAATTCCGCAACAGCCTGTTTCATCAGTAAAGAATCATCAGGCGGTATGACAAGTTTCAAAAATAGGGCTGCTTATATGTGTTTTTGCCGAAACGTGGGGGTGGGTGGGTTAAACAAAGCATGCATTCAATCTATTGTTTGCGTTGTTTACGCGGAAATACCTAATCGAATTGTGGGAGTGTGTGGATTACTATGTATTGTTTGCGTTGTTTACGCGAAATTTCTTCCTATGTCTGCACGTATATATAATTTCCATTCTTTTATTGAGTAATAAACATTTTTGGTTTTCTTTAAAAATACAAAATTTTCTCTCTAAACATAAATTACATCGTTTTGATCCTCCCGCGCGTATACGAAATAGCGCGTTTCAAAATTTGCCAATTGATATTAAAATCTTTCTTGCTATCTTTCAATGTCCAAATATATTTCGAAAGTTCAGTCTTGTTTGAGTGCTCTTTATGCTCGAAAGTATAGTTATGGTTAGCCAAACGCTCTTTAATTAAATGTAGTTGATGTCATGCCAATATAATTCATGATCGTGTTAGGGTTGCTTGTTGTGACTGTTGCTTTGTATACTATGTCCTTAGTCATGCATTGTTTCTGAAGTGGGCATATTGCGTTTTTCGAACAACTGCAATTGACAGTGCCCTTGTCCTGTGCCTTGTTCTTCCTAGCTATATGTGCATTGTGCTTATATAGCTATATGTGCATTGTGCGAACAACTGCAATTGACAGTGCCCTTGTCCTGTGCCTTGTTCTTCCTATTGTGCATCTACAGGGTGTATAAAAAAAACTACACAGATTTGAAAATGCTCTTAAATTCGCAAAACAGCTATTAGTATCCAGTTTTTGATGTATATAGCTTCTTTGGGTACTTATAATGTAGAAAAATGGAAACAATTTCTCGAACACAAATTTGTAAACCAGGGGGGGGGGTGTCTTTTCCAACAAACTGAAAATGGCTTTCGCACGAAATTTAAAAGCTTAATAAACACCCAAACAACACATTCTTAATAAGAAAATTCTTTTTAAAAAAAATTTCTTGATTTGAGAAATTATTTTCTTAAAATAAGAAATTATTTTCTTATTTTAAGAAAATTTTCTTATTTCAAGAATTTTTTTTCTTGGGAGAATAACAAGAAAATTTTCTTAATAAGAAAATTCATTTTAAGAAAAATTTCTTGTTTTGAGAAATTATTTTCTTAAAATAAGAAATTATTTTCTTATTTTAAGAAAATTTTCTTATTTCAAGAATTTTTTTTCTTGGGAGAATAACAAGAAAATTTTCTTAATAAGAAAATTCTTTTTAAGAAAAATTTCTTGTTTTGAGAAATTATTTTCTTATTGTAAGAAAATTTTCTTATTTCAAGAAAACTTTTTTCTTGGGAGAATAACAAGAAAATTTTCTTATTAAGAAAACAGATTTCTTGATTTGAGAAAATATTTTCTTAAAATGAGAAAATATTTTCTCAATTTAAGAATTTCTCTCAAGAAAATTTTCTTAATAAGAAAAATTTTCTTAAGAAAATTTTTTTATTAAGAAAATTTTCTTGTTATTCTCCCAAGAAAATATTTTCTTATTTCAAGAAAATTTTCTTAAAACAAGTTTTTTTTTTCTTAAAATAAGAAAATGATTTTTTGCTGTGTTTAATCATATTTTGAGTTGATAGATGGAACATTTGTTGGGTTTTTAATTACTGTACAAAATGTCAGACAATTTGCTTTAGTTTAAGCCTTTAACTATTCATTTTTCTCTAAAAAATTAGCCTTTCGCATGCTTAATTAATGCCTTTACCTAATTTGCATATTTCTGACATATGCAAATTAGGCAAAGGCATTGATTCGCATGCAAATGGTTGATTTTTTAAGAAAAAATGTTTAGTTTAGTTTGTTTAGTTTAACAACTTTAATTCAGTACCACACATACTAAATAAGGCTTGACACGAACGGGACGAGGTCCCATGCAATGTGTCAGCCTGACTAAAATTTACAAACTACTAGAGTAACTATATAATAACCATTATATACAAGCATTTAAAATAGATAAAATTAGGAATGACAAGGACACGTCCTACACAATGAATAGGTGCAGGGTAAATCTTGATCGAATGTTGTTGTCAAAAGTTCCTTGTAAGTCTTGTACAAGAATGTTTTGAAACTACTGAAAGTTGCAAATATACAAGATGGAGCTAACTTGAGGACGGTTCCATAGATGGACAATTCTATTGAAGTACGACGTTTTAAAAGTACTAGTTTTGCAAAAAGGGGTCTGTAAATACATTGACGACCACCGTCTTGTTCTACTACTGACAAAAGGTGTAAAAATATTTGTATCGAGGTCAATTAGACCATATCTACATTTATAATAAAAAGTCAAATCTTTGATCTCTCTATCATAAGAAAGTGGCAGGAGATTTAGTTTCTTTAAGCGATCCACGTAAGCTAAGTCCCATCGTTTAAGTCTTAAAATCCACAACGAAGCACGTCGTTGCACGCCTTCAATTCTTTTCTTCAAGGTAGCAGATTCAGGGGACCATACTTGAGGACCGTAACTTAGTTGCGATTTAACTAGGGATAGATACAAACTAAAGCTCTCCTAGCTCGCGTATCAGGTAAATCATAACAAGTCTGTTTCAGGAGACCCAGACATTTATTTGCAGTAGATCGAATTCGTGTGACATGAGAATCCCACTTAAGATTATAAGTTATTGTTATCCCCAAATCTCTTACTTCATCACAACGAACAAGATCATTACCAGCCAGGTTGTATGGAAATGTACTGGGATTTTTCTTTCTTGTAACTGTGAGGATTTCACATTTAGATGAATTAAACTGTAGACTGTTTTTGACGCTCCAAACATCAAGGTTATTCAGGTCTTGTTGTAGGGCCATGGAGTCAACCGGAGATGTAATAGGTCGATATACTTTTGAATCGTCCGCGTAAAGAGCAGTTTTCGATGCAGGTGCAGATAGGGAATCAGGCAGAGTATTGATAAAAATTGTAAATAACAATGGCCCTAAAATGCTCCCCTGAGGTACCCCAGAGGTAACAGGGGACCATTCAGAATCAACATTTTCTAGCACCACGCGTTGGCATCTATCAGTTAAATAATCCTTAAACCACAGCAATATAGAACCTCTGAGTCCGTGCGCGTAAAGTTTATGATGGAGAATCGCGTGGTCGACGGAATCAAAGGCTAGTTAGCAAAGTCTAAATAAATCATGTCTACTTGTTTGTTGTTGTCCAGGTTTTTCCCAATGTTATGCAGTACAGACAATAATTGGGTAAAGCATGATCGCTTCTTTAGAAAGCCATGTTGTGTTTTATTTATTAGTGCAGAGAGGATTGGATAAACCCGGTTATGACGTTATATAATACAACGTTCCATTACTTTAGAAATAATACTCAGCAGAGATATCGGTCTATAATTGAAAACATTCTCTCGCGAATCCCTCCTGTGCACCGGAGTTACGTTCGATTTCTTCCATTCGTCAGGGTCTTTGCCAATTTTAAGTGATGTATTAAAAAAGGAGCATAGAGAAGGAGAGATTTCCGATGCACATTCTTTTAATATGCGAGCAGGAATTTCATCAGGCCCGCATGCTTTTGTTGTATCGAGCGTTCTTAAGCATTCACAAACCTCCTTAGTTTCAAGTTGAATTTCAGATATTTGCATAACTGTTTCAGACGCATCGTTGAACTCAAAACAAGTCCGATCGGATTTTGGTTGAAACGCAGAGGAAAAATATGAATTAAACAAATTGACTTTTTCCCGACTTAATTGTTGTGGCTCAGAGGAGGGTGGAAGCTCTTCCCAGCATGCATTGCAACTCATTAATATTCACAATCATGATTTTTCACAATGTTAGTTGGAAAAGTTGTGGATATTTATTTCGATATTTCGCCACGAAAAGTTCGTATTTTTGAAGGTAAGTTTTTATAATTGTTTTAAATATGAGTCAAATTAACGATTTTTGCTTTATTTGGTGTTTTAACAACGTTTAGTTATATGTTAATCGCAATTTGGATTGACCTGTTTTCCGGGTCAATGCACAAGTGTCAAAAGTGGCTTTCAAAACCGCTGGGGACAATTGGGTTTATAAATGAGTAAATTAAATAAAAGACACGCCATCGTATTCACGAAGAGTTGTTCTTTCTATGAGAAGTTTAAAAAATGAATTGTCCCCATCAAACTGACGAGTAATCGCGGTTTGAAAATGGGGCATTTTCGGTATACTATGTCGCCCATCGCGGGAATAATCGACCGCATGGGAATGGGCTATTCCATTTAATATCCGTACCCCCCTGTCGAGGATACATGTTTTTCATTGTCATACCCCTGAAGAATTCCAAGCTCAAAACTGTTTACCCCTGAAGAATTCCAAAATTCCATGCTCAAAACTCTTTACCCCTGAAGAATTCCAAGCTCAAAACCTTTTACCCCTGAAGAATTCCAAAATTCCAAGCTCAAAACCCTTTACCCCTGAGGAATTCCAAGCTGAAAACCTTTTACCCCTGAAGAATTCCAAGCTCAAAACCCTTCACCCCTAAAGAATTCCAGGCTCAAAGCCCTTTACCCCTGAAGAATTTCAAGCTCAAAACCTTTTACCCCTGAAGAATTCCAAGCTCAAAACCCTTCACCCCTGAAGAATTCCAAGCTCTGAAAAATCTCAAACCTCTTCACCCCTGAAGAATTCCAAGCTCAAAACCCTTTACCCCTGAAGAATTCCAAGCTCAAAACCATTTACCCCTGAAGAATTCCAAACTCAAAACACTTTACCCCTGAAGAATTCCAAGCTCAAAACACTTTACCCCTGAAGAATTCCAAGCTCAAAACCCTTTACCCCTGAAGAATTCCAGGGATCCTCGACAGGGGGGGTACGGATATTAAATGGAATAGCCCAATTATGGCGCGAGGAAAATTACTGTACGAGTCGTTATTATTTTTGTTTTATTTCGAAGCATGTGCATATATGTCGATCGTTGTTGAGTTTAACTGCTGCATTTAAGTTAAATACACTGTATTTTACCATTATTTTTATAGAATTCGAATATATTTTGTGAAAATGGAATCTGATAATGATGGCAATGTTGTTTATATTGTTGATCCTTAGTATGGGAAAAGTTGAACTTATGAATTTAATGCTGATTTAGAACTGTTATTGAGCAAACTGTTCCTACATCCTGCTTTGGCAAATGGTATAACATCTAATCCAGCCAAGTTGTGCTCATGATCCATTCAACTGATTCAAGCAATGAAAATATTGAACCAGAATAATAAGAGCAACCTGTTATATAAATTTGCCCATACCAGCCTTTTAATAGATACATATTTTAGTAGACATTTTACATGTAAATACTGGTGTATTGGTGACATGAAAATGTTGCAATGAATCTTAAGTATTTACTTTATATATTGTAACTTTGAATAAAGCATTTTATTAACATCAATTATGTATGACCACTGCGTTTATATGACCACCCCCCACCTAGCCCTGGCCAGAGGGTATGCAGGGGGGGGGGTATTTTCATGATAAAGCAAAAAATATTAGAGTCAAAATGAGTAATTTGAGTAATAACATGATGATAAGTAAACTGTTTGTTAACAACAATTACAATACAGTAGTCAAGCAAGACTTTGCTGTAGTCAAGTAAGTTGATAGGTGGGTGGCGCACATGACTGACACAACTCGGCACCAGAGCACCCTCCCTACCACATCATACTGGATCCATATTTAGATCAGTGATCCATCTGTACTAAATATACAGCTGTTAAAACAGTGTTAAGAACACATGCACAATGACTGCAGTAAACAAACACAGGAAATTGAGTTTGAAAACATTTATTTATTTGAAAAAGGACTGGTAAAATTATATTTAGGTGATTATCGGGGAATATTTGCCGAGGTTAATATTCCCAGATAATCACAGAGCCTGAGGCGAATAATTGTTTTAGTATTTTTACACAAGTTTTTGTATTTTTCTGGTCTGAATTCATTTTAATTTCGCTTATTTCTTTATTACTAACTTCAACAAAACAGCTAGCCGCCATTTTGAAAATTTCGATTTTGTTATAATATAACAGATTAATACATCAAATTTGACCAATCACCTTGTAGCATTTGTTATGTTCACTTGTGCAAAAATACTAATATCAAATATTTACCTGAAATAATAACAGTGTTTTAATAGGAATAAATTTATATGAAAATCTCAACTAAAAATGTCTTGCTCATGTTCTACTTTAAATTTCAACTTCAGATTTTTTGATCATCTATACATGATTATCACAAGTTGCATGGTATCTTTGTTCTCGCCTGGAACCAGCTACAACAAACTTCTCAGGATACAAAGTATCCTCCACAATCCTTGTCTTAATTCTCAGGATACAATGTGTCTCCATCACAATCCTTGTCCTTCAGAATCCTTGTCTCCATCCTCCTAATCAGAGCTTGAATCATTCATGTATTTAGCATCATCAGTAGCCTGTTCCACACCCAATAATTGAGTCAACTGCTGAATTTCATCAATCTTGTCCATGTCTGCAACTCCACCTTCTGCACCAATACTTTCAACATCACCAGGCATCTCTTCACCATGAATTTTAACTAAACACATAGGATTTAATGGCTGTTTAATGCAATTGCATAACAATGGCTCATCTAAATTCACCAGTGGTAGGTCATTCAGTATATCCTCTAAAATATCCAGCTTGGGTGGTCTGATTGTTACAGAAGTTGGTGATGGAATAATGTTAAACTCCCACAACAAAACACAACATAAGTACTACAGGTAAAAAAAGATTTGATGCATTTATACAGGGACGTTGGAACAATAAAAAGGCAAGGGCACCTTTATAGACCTACAATTATGTGTTGACTTGCCAATGAAAGCCTGATTGTGCATGTTCCATTGACGATAGCTGTTCTGTGTTCTGGAAATAAAGTCTACTCAAGGAACTATAACTGCACAAACACACTTAATCAGGTCACATTCAAGTTCACACCTCATGACTTTGCCCAAAACTGGAGATAAGATTTAGCAGGCAGAATTTCTATAACACAAAGTGCACTTCTGCCCCCCTTGCCCCTCCTCCCTGCTTTTATGATATTAAAATAGATTTGACTCATTTGACATTCAAATACTTGTAGTCTTGTATGATTTCCGAGTATAAATGGCCCATTTTCCCACCAATTAAATCATAAAATAATCGTACCTTAAGGTCACAACTAGAATAGATTTCTATCAATGAAGGACTATCGCATTCGGCGAACATATAATAAGTCAACTTTTACGCCAAATGTTGTCGACTTGTCGTTATCCATAAAACTAGAAGTTCGACATCCCTTCACGAAGCAGCTCCAGTCGCTCTTTCGACACACAATGTACATAAAGATTGTCACGTCCATCCAAATCAGTAGCTTTGTTGCCACGAACAGTACGAAAATTCGCCATGATTTACAATTTTCAATTTGTACTTTTGAATACCGCTCCTTGCAAATTGAGTAGCGAACACAACGAGAGCTAGTCGAACAATGACGGCTCGTCCCGGGAAATCGATAATATGAACGAGTTACAATGCATGCCGGGAAGGGCTTCCAACCTCCTCTGGTTGTGGCTATTATGTCGCCGTGAGTGATAATTGTTGACTGTTGTTTATTCGAGTGAATGGCCTTATGATATGACCAGAATAACTTGAATGGGATTGTCCGCAAAAGAGTGTTTAATATTTGCTAAATAGACTTCATGTTTACGTTTTATCATATCCTTGACTTCTTCAGTTATTCGCCGAAGATTTTCTTTACGTTGCTGTGTTTGATTTAAGCGATAGCGGCGCAAAGCCGTGTATTTTTTTATGAGATATTTCACTTCGCGATCGATCCAGGGAGGTGTATTCTTATCGGAGACCGTTTTCTTCGGCACAAATTCCTCAAGAGAGGTTAAAAACAAGTCCTTCCAATTTTGCCAGCATTCATTTATGTCCGTCTTTTCGGATATTGCTAGGTCAAGAGGAGCATAGTTAAGATGTGTGCGAAGGCCGGGAAAATCAGCACTCTTATAATCATAGACAGAACGTTTGACTGCATGGTTTAGCTCTATTACAGCAAATATTTATCTCGAAGTTGATTAAGTAATGGTCTGTGGGGAAAATGTTATGCGGTTGTATCATGTTTGAATGATTGCAAAGAAGACAATCAAGCTTATTTCCTTGTATGTGGGTAGGGCCAGTAACCAAGTCACTAAGGAAGTTGTCAGCTATAATTTCACAAAATAGTTCTTCATTTTAGTTATTATTTGAAGCTGGTGTGGGATAATCGTGGGACCACTCAATATTAGGTAAATTAAAATCTCCGACAAGTATAAGTCGACAAGATTCATCCAATTTATCAAGGCTTGAACGCAATTCTAAAAGGGAGTCTATAGGTCGGTAAAATACACCAACAAGTAATTAACTTAGGGCGGCCCAAAGGGAATACTTCAATCATAACTTGTTCGCAATTTGTTCCCTCGAGATGATTTCTTCTAATCGAACGAAGGTCAGATTTGATAGCAACTAAAACTCCGCCGCCTCTACTATTCAAACGATCATTTCGATATATAGTATAGTTTTGGAGAATTTCATTATACGATATCAAACTGTTGCGAGTAAACCAAGTTTTGAAATAACACAAGTTTACTCATCTTACAGCCTTGCACGGCGTTGTTGTTGTCGTTCACCAGGGCTTTGATACTTCGAGAGTTCATATACAACGTCTTCAAACCATATGCATTAGCGTGTCTAGTGTCGTATTCAGAGGGACCAGGATTAGGATGAATGGTTAAAGGGCGTAAACTGAAGCAAATTGTCTAAAATTTTGTACAGTAATTAAACAACCAACAAACTTTCCATCTGTTAACTTAAAATATGATTAAAGCTTTTAAATTTCGTGCGCAAGCCATTTTTAGTTTGTTGGAAAAGACACCCCCCCCCCTGGTTCACAAAATTTGAGTTCGAGAAATTTTTTCCATTTTTCTACATTATAAGTACCCAAAGAAGCTATATACATAAAAAACTGAATACTAATAGCTGTTTTGCGAATTTAAGAGCAAATTCCAAATCTGTACAGTTTTTTTTATACACCCTGTATATATTTATACTCTATCTTTATGGTATTGAGCACTCTTTGCGTTTCGTATACATAAAGCTACCCGTATATTCGCACCCGTATATCGGTCGTGCATGCACTCTAGTTTACGTTTCTCATTTCTTACTAACTTCAAAATGCGACAATTTCGATTTGACTATTCATTAAAGAATATTCCTATACCATCGCAGGACGCTTATTTGAAGAATTTGATTGAAAAAGTGGAAAGTGTAATAAAACGTATGAGATGGAAAGCTCATTTCTTTAATAAAAGCAGTATCAATAAAAACCAAAACAACCATTTCGGCCTTGCGTCCAACAAAACACCTTCTTCGATTCCGGAAATGAAACCTTTCGAAACCGACCTCATAAAACTCATCGAAAATATACAATTTCGATCAGGGAAAAACCATTTTCAGAAATCTTTGCTAACGATTTGAAGAAAATTAATTTATCTTCCAACATTTTCATATTTGCAGACAAAACTAGAAATATTTATGAACTCGCTCACATGACAACATTACAAAAACATCTAGCTCTTACATGACAACATTACAAAAACATATAAACATGGATCCGAGGACACTATAGACGAAATTGACTCTGAACTAAAAGAAATTTCGAACAATTTAGGAATCGGCGACAAAATTGAAAAAATGATAAAACGTGAAGCATTTATAACTTTAAAAGACCACAAAGAGAATTTCGAGAACAATCCCAGAATGCCGGCTAATTAATCCCGCTAAAAGTGAATCAGGAAAATTGAGCATGCAAAATTATTTTA